AAAAATTCCTGGCCTTTATCAATTTTGGTACCAAACTCTAGCTCGATGAGAGGAATCGTTTAATACTAAATTGGGAAAGATTAGGAAATCTTGAAAGAAGTTATGGCTCTGCGACAATGTGGCCGCGCGACAAAGTGGGCCGTACCCATTAAAGGATATACGGTAGTGTGTAACATTACATATAATAAGAGGAATCCATTCGATCATATTTCAACTTTTCGTTGTTTCTGAAATTTAAATATTTATGATAAAAAACGTTATCATAAACTAATATTCCAAATATCAAGCAATTTTATTATTAAGTTATAATTTTTATGAATTTTTTTCCTAAAATATTGGAAAATCTTCAAAATCTATTGAATTGTTTATACTACTTTAATTGCATATCATCTTAGATTTTGGAAATAGATTGGGTTTGATAAAATTGGGGGAAAGGAAGTATTTTAAAAAAATGGGAGATAAAGAGGATTATTTTATGAGAGAATTAAAAAAATAATTTTAATATTACCATTTTTAACTCAGAAATTAGCTGAATTTCTAATTTTTTTTGAACATTTTTAGTCAATTCTAAAAATAAGATTTCCTTTTTAAAAAATTTAAATAGGACTAATTTTTTATTTTTATTATAATATCAGCAGACTTTACTAAAAATATATTTTAGTCTTCCTTTTTTCTTAAAAATTGGTATATTCCTCGTCCCGTGCTTTTTTGGTCTTTTATTTTTATTTTCTAAAAATAGTTCTTAAAAATAGATTTGTGAATAGAAGGGAAGTCTTTTTTAAATTTTTTTTGTCAAACTAGCCCCATTCGAAATTAAACACCTTAATCACTCCTTCATAAACACCTTAATCACTCCTTCAAATTAAACACCTTAATCACCTTAATCACTCCTTCAATATTTTGTGTCTATACAAAAGTGAGAGATTGAGGGGTTTGTACGAGAATCGAGATTGAGATCTCGAAAAACATCGATCTACATAGATACAAATAGGTATTCTACGCTTCCGGGTTCTTGACCCATAAATGTATGTATTGGACTTTTGGTCCGTACAGTTGGTTAGCCAATTATTATTTTATTTTTTGGAAACTAGACTAGACAGACTGTCAATATTTTAATTTTTTATATTTTATTTCTTAATTACCTACGTAGACCAAAGCATATACCCCTATACCTTTATTAAATAAATTTCAATCAAAGTCATCCATTTTAGTTTTTTATTTCCCCCCACTGACTCTTCACGTGTATACGCGGAATTACACGTGAAAATAAATTATTTGGAAAAAAAGAATAAAAAAGATATATGGAAAGAAAAAGACATTAAAATTTATATAATAAAATACTTATACTTTGTGAGCAAAAAATTTGCGGATAAAATTTGCGGACATTTTTATTTATTTTTCCTTTTATCATTTGACTAACTTAAAGTGGGTATCTTTTTAAATATTTTTTGTTTTTTGGATAAAAAATATTTATACTATTAGATAAGGCATTTTGATAACAATTTTATATTTTTAATTTTTAATTCCGCATCGAATTAAAATAATTTTTCTTTTATTTAAAATAAAATTAAAAACGGGTTTAACTAAAAAGTTGGTAATTTTCATTCCGCTCAAAAAAACTTTAAATTAAAAATCTTCAATGTCAATTTAGACAATAACCTGGCCAATTACGCGGAATTATAATTATAACTCTTCTATATAACTATGAAGATAGAACTATAGGTCAGGGTTGCCGCCCTATACCCGAAACCCGTACCCGAAAATTTTTTGTATCCGTGGCAATACTGCTATGCTATAGGTAGAATTTGCTATTTATGAATTCTAAATTTCATTAGGCGAGAGCAGAGGGCGATTGGAACTCCAATGTCCAACTTCCGAAATTTTGGCATTATTTTCATTATTCTTCACATTATGTAGTTGCCTTCCAATTTCCAACACTTTCTATCTCCGACACTATTAACATTTCCTATCGACCTCTGAATAAGATCCTTGGCTCGAAACTAAACCTTAGAACCCATTTTTACATATATACTCAATTTTTAAAAATTTTATTTTCACCTTTTTGCGTAATTTGTCCGCAAGTTTCTCTTTTTTCGGTGTAATAAAAAAAAAGAAATTAGGAGGGTAGACGTACATATGACCATGTCTTGTTATATATTATAACAAAGTTGGAAATATAAAAAAAATAAAAAAAAAGGGAAAGATTGGCCCATGACGTTTGTTTAAGTGCTTTCCTCCTTTTCTATTCTTCCTTCCTTTAAGCGCGGATGTCTGCGAAAGAAACAGGAAAAGAATAAAATTGGGAAGGAAATTGGGGACCTTAAAAATTAAAAAAAATTTTCGCGAAGGGGGGGAACGTGTTTTTAATCATTTTATTGTTCTACTTGGCAGTTTTTTATTAGACTTTTTTGATTTCTTCCTTTTATTTTCTTTTTAATTTTTAAACTTGTTTTTTTGTGATAAACATCTTTTTGCCTTGAGAAAATGATAAATTTTATTTTCATTTGATCTTTTTTTATTTTATTTATTTTTATGCTTTTTCTGTCCGCAAATATTCTAATAGTATATTGCTTCTTATCGTAATGGGTTAACTAGAAATTTATCCAGAAGGGATTTGAAGATTAAGAGAGATATACATATTTATTTTATGTGAGTAGATTTTTTAAATTTTTGCCGTTTTGGCGTCCATTTTGGCCAACTTTGGCGTTCTAGAATTGAGCGTGTTTTAAAAATTTGAAAAAATGGCGTTTTACGTTTAGTACGGAAATTGTTGGGGACCTTAAAATAAAAAAATAAAAAATTATTTTAGTGCACATCCCTGTCCAGAACGGTCGGGAACAGACTTGATCTCAATTTCGTCTTTACATATTTCGTTTCGCTCTGAATTTTGTTTCGGCTTTGGTTCGCTCCGAAATAAATAGAAAATTTTAATATTTCGATTCGAAATTTTTTTTGAACCCTTTCGAGCACGTCACATTACGAGAGTTTCATTTTATTGTTACTCAGCTCGAGAATGGGGTTGTCGGTTCTGGAACGAACAGAACCGAAGAACCGAGGATTTTTCGGTTCGGTTCTTTGGTTCGGTTTCGGATATCCGAAGAGTTTTTAGGAACTGACAACTCTACTCGAGAATAATCTTAAAATAAATTATTCTTTATATAAGATATTTATTCTTGTTTTATTCTCTTCATTTAGTATCTACATATTTATTTATTTTGACTTTTAATTTCTTAAAATAACTCGTCTTCTTCACAAATTAAAAGGAAATACTTTAACGGTTTTTACAACCATTACTAATTGACTGCGCGAAAATTTATAGAAAAAGGAATAGTTGAAGGGGATGGGGATGAGTAGTTGTAGGTCGGGGATACACGTGACAGTTGGAGAGAAAGAAAATAAAATTTATTTTTATATTTATTTAGTTTTAAGAAGATAAAGAAGAAGATATTTTTACTAAAAATTAATATTTTTAATTCAACTTCTGAAAATAACAGCGGGAGAATCCTAAAATACTCCTTGAAAAAAAGTAATAAAAATTTTCTAGTTATTTATTAAATACAAAATACCTATATGAGGTTTTTTAAAAATATAGAGAGTGATTGTTAATTGTATAGTTGCACTCCGAACGCTCGGGGGCGGGTATGGTTTTCCAATTGTTTCGTGGCGTGGTTCGGGTCGGGGGAGCAAAATATGGTCGGGGTACAAGTCGGGGTACAGGGTGCAACTCTGGTTAATCGGCAGTTAATCGACACTTCCTATGTCTGATTTTTTCTGTCAAATTTTTCAAGTCTAGTTTTGTCTGTCTTTGTCTATGTCTGATTGTCTGTCTGATTTTTTAGACCCATGTTTTCGATTTATTTTAGGGGAATTTTAAAAAATTAAGCAAGTTTTCTGAAGTTGTATGTATTCAATTTCCAGTTTTAATATCTTCATGAAGATAGATTAATTTGTGCTATAAAATACCAAACCTTCCGTAAAATTCTCGTTTTAATTTAAAGGGCCGATTAGTCCGTAGTCGATTTTAAAATTATGGACTATTTTAAAGAGTTTATTTAAAATATATCTTTACTCCAGTGTTTATTTTGGTGTCGGAGATAGGTTCCAGGAACAATAGAAAACATAAAAATTTGGATCGTCAAGAAAGCGAACCGCTGAACCATTTAATTTTTTGGAACCGTTATACAATGCCTCTTACTTATTCTAAATTTTTTTCTTTATAATTAAAAGATTTCCAAATTTAGAATAAATTAAATTTAACCAGATTAACAACAATAATTAAAAGAAAATCACACACATTTGTCACTAAAATTAAAAAAAGATTTTTTTGTGTTTATTTAATGTTTGATGGACTAGAATACCCAATTTAGGTGGATATATTAAAAGAGAGATTGATTGTTTATTATATAGACAACAACTGGTTGGTGTTAGACAAAATTAATGTTTTGTGTGTGAAAAAGGGATTTTTAGCGGACTCCAAAAAATAATAACGGATGTGACTTGCTCGAATTAAATATTATTCAATTTTGTGACTGAAAATTATATTTTTGGGGTGTTAAAATTAGTACCGTATTTTGGGGTGCTAAAAATTAGAAAATTATAACGACATGTCGTTTTAATTTTCAACCCTCTTCGGTATCACGACTTTTGCGCCGAGAACATTTGCGCCGCGACTTATGCGCCGCGACTTTTGCGCCGGGCGACTTATGCGCCGCGACTCTTGCGCCGCGACTTTTGCGCCGGGCGACTTATGCGCCGCGACATTTGCGCCGCCATTGTTTAAAAAAAATAAAATAATAACCTCACTTTAGTGTATCACTTGGGGTTAAAAAATGGTATACAGGAACTGAAGGAAGTCCAGGAAGTACAATAGGGGTCCGGTACTGAGAATTAGGTCTTGACCATAAATAATGAATTAGGTCTAAATTCCCTGATCAGATATCCCAATTGCTTTCTGATGTGCTGACTTTTTCGGATCAGGACATTTGGATTTGATAACCCTATTCCGGTATGATTTTCAGCCCCAAGAGTGTGCATTATAGGGTAGGGTTGTCGGATCCGGAACCGAAAAAGGCCGGATATCCGAAATTTTCAGCTTGGATATCGGATCCGGATATCCGAATATTTCCAACTATCCGACAACACTACTATAGTGAGGTCCGGCTGTAGTTATTTATATATTTTTAATGATAGTGGCGGCGCAAAAGTCGCCCGGCGCAAAAGTCGCGGCGCAAAAGTCCCCCGGCGCAAAAATCGCGGCGCAAAAGTCCCCCGGCGCAAAAGTCGCTCGGCGCATAAGTCGCGGCGCAAAAGTCGCGGCGCATAAGTCGCGGCGCAAATGTTCTCGGCGCAAAAGTCACGGAACCCCCCCTTCTAGGGTGCCGCTATATTAGAGACTGTCGTTCTAAAAGAGACTGCCCTTATATTAGAATAAATACGGGATATCAGCTTATTTTTAGCTTCAATAAGGGGGTGATGATTTTAGAGGGGGATTTTATTGAAAAAAAGTCTGGGAGAGTTTTGCGGATGGATTTTGCGGACAAACAATTTTCGGATGTTTTGGATACATAAATGTTAGCCTATTGATTATTGGGATTTTTGTCTTTAATTTACATGTTTTTTAACATTTTTTGAAGTATTTTTGGAAAATTTTATAGGTAAGTTAAAATGTAAAAAAGTCCGCAAAATAAAGTCCGCAAATAAAAAATCCGCAAAAAAAAGTCCGCAATGTGTAATTATTATCAAATTCCAATTAAAAAGATAATTGTTTTGCTGAAAATATAATAAAAAAATAATTTAAATATCTCGTTGTAATATCCAAAGTAATTAAAACCTTTGGATTTGCTAAAAATAGCTTTTTTGCACATTTGTAGACTAAAGAATAAAAGTCTGTTACACCCCCTGTCACACCATTTTTAGTTAAAAAACATTAGGTGTTTGGATTTTGAGTTTTGAGCTCTTGAGAGATTTTTGCAATATTTTTTATTTACTTTTTTATTAATTTGTTACTCTCTACATACATATTTACTGTTTACTTGAATTTCTTTTGGCTATTTTTGTTTTTTTTTCAATAAAAATAAATAAATTTCTCCTTTTTTTGCGTTTAGAAGCAGAGCTGGGCACAATTATCGCGGATCGCGTATTGCGGCTGCGGAAATTATTTTCCAATTGCGCCTAGTCCTGGATTAGAAGCACTAGTTGACTTGCGGATTGCGTTTGCGGATTTTCAAATTAAAATTGCGGATTGCGACTGCGGAAAATTTATTTCTAATTGTCCTGGTTTAGAAGCACTAGTATTTTCTAAAAAATTTTATAATAATAACCTTTATTTTTTAATAATTTTTTTTTATTTTTAGAATGACATTTATCCCCAAAATGCACTCTCCCTTTTATCTTTGGTCTCCCTTTAGTCTTTTTTAAAAAAAACATTTTTTGGTTATTCTACGTTTCTCGATTCCCTTTGTTCGCGCTCTTTGATTAATTACTCTCTTTTAATTTTTCTAAAATTTTTTTTATTAAATTTTTTTTCTTTTGTTCGCCTACGCGATTTAAAAAAGTGTCCTTTTATATTTAAATTAATGAAAAGTTTGGGTAAAAAATAGTTTAATTAATGAGAGACTAGATGGAGACTAAAAAATCAAAAAATATATTTTTGATATATTCTCTGTGTTCCTGGCAATGCTTCGGATTTCCGAAACCGAAGAACCGAACCAAAAAATCCTCGGTTCTTCGGTTCGGTCCAGAACCAACAACCCTACTCTAGGGTGTTTTTTCCTGGTTATTTTACTTTTAAAAGTTTGGTTCTGTAACCGCTATAATTCTTAATAGCTATCTTACAAAGCTTCCAAATAATTTTATAAGACAAAAATTCCCTTCGATTTTAATATGACCTTTAATTCGACGAGCTTTGTCAGATGATATCGACGAGATTTGAAATTGTGGATTTGTTGGTGTTCCCATTTTTATTATTTAGTTATGTTCTTATTAAACAAAAATTAGATACCTGTATATTGAGATGGAATAGAACTAGGTAGCTCCTCGTACCCCGAAACCTTGACCCAAACCCCGAAGGCTCTGGGAGCTACCCCAATAGAACCATCATGGAAAGGGCCCAAACCGAAGCACTACCGTCACCGTCCAACCCGATGCTGTCTTATTTTTATTCATTTTTGTATTCTTTCTACAAGTGCGGAGACACAACAAGCTGACTGGGAGGGTTCTCGATAACCGAAATTTTTATTCGAGATCTCATCTCAATCTCTTGTTTTTTTATTTGTTTTTTACTTAAATTCTCTCAACAAATAAACAAAAATTTTTATTTTTTTAGATTTAAAACTAGCTAGTCATTAAAAATATTATTATTGCCCAACGCTGCCTTGTACAACATAGACGAAGGCCTTTTGGGGCAAAACGGGTCAAAGCTCATAAAAAGTAAAAAAAACATATTCACACATTTGACATTACTAAAATATTAAACGAAGTAAACAACAAAAAAGCGCAACAAAAATTATTATTTTTATTAAAAAAAATATTTTTTTAAATATTTTATTGACAACTGCCTGATAAATAAAGAGGGGGAATTGAGAGAAAATATATAAAAGAATAAATTGGTAAGAGAGAAAGGAGTAATTTAAAGGGAAAATAATAAAAATAAATGTTTTTATTTTTATTGAAAGAAAATTTAAATTTATTTTTATTTTTCTGATTTTTTAATATAATATAAGAATGACGTTTTTGGGTTGGTAAAACGTTTGGGTATTTTTGTAAAAAATACAATTGACGTTTTTGAAAATGAAATTTTGCACAAATGTGTAACTTATACATACATATTTCATAATTTTGTATGTAGCAGAGGTGGGTCAGAATTCCGATTTCCGACGTTTTTTATTCCCGATTTCCGAAAAAAAATTTTGATTACCAATTTCCGAGTTCCGACTTTTGAGCCAGTTCCAATTTCCGGCTCTTCCGATTTCCGACACCTCTGACTGTTCCGACATACCTCTGGTATGTATGGTTGTTGCTGAGGAACCGGGGATTTTTCTTTTCGATTTTTCGGTTCGGTTCCAGAAATCCGAAGATTTTCCGAAGACCATCAAAATATTTCGTTCTATGCACAATTTCATTTTGAATTTTTTATGCGCGCGCCCAAACGTCACTACGGTATTAAAGGACTTCAGAATCCGAATTCTAGAAATGAAGGGATTATCTTAGAAATATTCGTTTTTTAATTATTCAAGCTCTTAATTTCTTTTAAAAACTGAACCGAGTGGGCTTTACAAAACCTTGCTATATCCCACTAAAGTTCAAGAGTAGTCTCTACAAAAGTGGCTCAAGTCTACTTTATGAGTCCAATCCATGACTCTTTATGAGTTTTAGGGTTGGGAGCCCGATCTGGCCCGGTCCGAAAGATCGAGTCGGGCATCGAATTTTGGCCCGAGAAAGACTCGTCGGGCCGGTCCGATAGAAATGACTCGAACGTCGGCCCGGCTCGAAACCCCCACCCCCAATGAGCTTCATTGGACTCATAAACTAGGCTAGAACCAAAAAAAATTTTCTGAAAATTTTTAAAAATTTTTTGGCATTATGTAAATATTTTTATTTTTTCTCCTTTTCTAGATATAAACACAATTTTGGACAATAACCAAGTATTTTCAATGGATTTAGCTAAAGAATTTTTGGCTGAAGTATTAAATGAGAGAATTTGTTTGGCATCAAATTTCTCTTCTGGAAATGAAAAGAAAACGACAAATTCCTCTTCTTCTAGTCTAACAACAACAAATAAACAACAAGAATCAGCAATTATTGAAGCAAATAAATATTTGGAGAATTTGAAGTCTGTGTCTATACATGTGCTGTTGGGACATACAGAATGTAAAGAAGTTGGGGATAAATTGTGTTCGGCTATGCAAGATACTGAGGTTACTATTGAAATTTTATAAGAACTTGATGCCTTATTTTGATGAAATTTTTTGGTTAAGGAAAAAATTTTAGAAGGAAAAAAAATTTTTTGGCAAAAATTTTTGTTTTGGGATATTTTGTCATTATGTGGCAAAATATTTAAATATTAGCTACAGTCAAACTTTGTTTTTAAATACCTCCAAAAAGTAGGTAAAGCTTAGTTTTCTAAGCTTTTTTAGGGAGGGAGAGCTGCCTAAACCAATACCCTCTATTTAAACAACACCCATTATAAGGGACGATTTTTTAAAATTCCACTCAGTGACCAAGCAAATTTTAAAAATATATCTTAAATTGAGTGTATTTAATTTTTAAGATATTTTAAAAGGGTTGAAAAAATGAGTATTTGAGGACCAAATTGTGTTTATTTTATTGAAGAATTTAGAAAAAATCTAGAAAATTTTTTTTAAAGGTTTGGACCTTCAAGCTCCACCATCAACGACCTTCCGATTCAATTGGTCGTCCTCCAATGCTGCCATTATTTTTAAAACAAGCTCTACGTTCTCAGCTACACTTTTCACCTCTTCGTTCTTGGTTGACAGCTAACAAGACTCTTCCTTGTGGCCTTTTCCCTGTTGTTCGGTAATTTATAATTAGATAATTTGTTGTTTTCTATACGTTCTTCTGTGGTTGGTTGGTAGTGTTTTTGACTTTGAAAATTTTCTCTAGGGTTCGATTCCCATTGGCGCCCAACATTTTTTATTTTAACAGTTTTAATTTTTAAAATATTTTTTTTGGTCTAAAAAATTTTTTTGTTGGTGTTTTCTATTTTTTAAACTCTAAAAAAAATTTTTTTTAATTATTTTTTTTTTATTAAATAAAATTAATTTCTTTTTTTATTAAAGTGTCTTGGCCAGTGATCATCTACTTTCAAGTCCAATTTCTTCTCAAGTCCAATCTCATAAATTCCCTGCTTGTTGTTGTTCTACTACTCCAAATGGAGGGGGAATATGGTTAGAACTTTGTGTTCAGTGGTTGAAACGAGAATATTTTCTTTCAAAAGCGCCAATTTTGTGTCCTTCTATTGAGTGAATTTTAAAGAAAAAATTTTTCAAAAAATTTTCAAAAATTTAAGAATGGATTGTAACGATTCTTGGGTTCTTCCACCTTTGTCTGACACAAATAATGGGCTCAACCAAGAACAAAATCAGCGTCCAAGTTCTTCGCTAAGTTCATCATTGTGTAGTAGCAGTAGTGACTCTGATGAAGATATTCAAGAGGAAGATGAGAGTGAATTGTCTTCATCCTCCTCGTCTTCACCAATACCTACACATTCTCAAAGCAATATTAATGAACAAATATCTCATCAAAAGTAAAAAAAATTTTTTTGGAAAATTTTTTTAAAATTTTTTTGGAAAATTTTTTTAAAATTTTTTAGGCAAGACAACACTGAAAGTAACAACAACAACAGCAACAGTAATAATATAAATAATAATATTTCTTCATTGTCTCGTCGCAACTCTCAAAATGTGGGTTTTAGAGTAGTTATTTTTAAAGATATCTTAATCGAGCCGGAGAATTTTTTCAAGAGAGTAAATTGTCCTTCAGCGAAATACTAAAATTAAAGCTTTAGTCAACTTATTCCAAGCAAAATTCTATCAAAAATTTGATTTTTATGGGTTAAAGCTTTGGTCTGGGTCGGTTTTTACCTTCTAAGCGTTTGTATACCTTTTACATAGTTTTCCAAGATTTTCAGGTTTCTTCGGTAGATAGAGAATAAATAAAGATTTCTAAATTTTACTCAAGCCCCATTGTAACCTTTGTGAAAAGCTAGAATTATAGAAACCTAACGGGATCCATAACACATTAAAGATCATTTCAATAATTTTTAATCCTTCGTTTACCTAAAAGAGTTTTAGTTTAATTTCTCTCATATTTTTAGATCCAATCTAGTCTTCAATTTGTAAATGAAAGCCAAAATAGACGAGAGCGTTCCCAACGTAGATTACGTCCTTCTAGACCTATTCAATCATCAACTAATTCAACAACAACAACAATTCAATTACCTTCATTACCACCAAAACATTCTCAATTACTTCAACAATATCATCACCACCACCATCATCAATCTATTCAACGGAGTAGACGACTTGTTATGCAGCGGGCGAGGAAAGCAGCGACGAAAAAAATTAATGATGGACCTTCAATAAAAGAAAATAATTCAGACAATAAACAAAAAGAGGATAAAATGGAAGAGGATAAAGCGGAAAAAGTAAAAATTGAAAATAAAAAAGAAATGGAGGAAAATAATAAGAATGTTGGAGGGATTGAGAAAATGGTAATTTTTTGGAAGAAAATTTTTTTGAGTTATTAAACTCCTAGAAATTTAAAAGGAAAGGGAGGACAAGGGGAAGTTTCACCCTAACTAATTCCCACTGGTTTCCTCAAAAGTCTAAATTTCGAATTTAGTTTTAAAAACCGGTCGCTCATTCTTGATTTCTAACCAAGTATCGGTTTTATTATGGACAGAATTTTTATTTGATCATCGTTTTTATTAATTCTGGTTCGAAATTTTCGTAAAAATTTGTTAGAATTTACCAAAAGATTTACGGTTTCAAAGGCAGTCCTAAACAAGTTCTAAATTCCGCTGGATTTGTGACATAATCTTTTGATGAAGTAGCCGTAAAATTAAAAAAAAACAAATGCTCTAGGAAACTAAAAGAATTTTTTGATTTCAAGTAAACCAAGGCCTCGATATTTACGGATATCTGATATAAAATGCGGATTTTTCAGCTTAAACTTCCGAATTTTTAAAATTTCGAGATCGAAGCCCTGAGTTAAACAAATATGTAAATCGGAACAAAAAGTTATTTTTTAACAAAAATTTATTAAGGAATATTCTTCTCCACAACGTCTACAACAACAGCAACCATCTTCCCAATGTTCAACACCTCCTCCACCTTTCCAACAGCATTTATTGTTGCGTGGAGTAAACATAACCTCACCACCATCTCGAATGTTATTCCAACAACGTCAACATTCCTCTTTATCAGCACTTCACAACAACAACAATATTAAGAATCCAAACAATTTATTTCGTCGTTGTTGTTCAGCTAGATTAGTTTGTAATTTTGAAGAAAGTATTTTGAGTGGTCGACTAACTCCGAGCAGTATTGTTGATGGGTAAGGAAGGATATATTTGATATTTTTAATTTGGTGCTTGTTTAAGATCCTCTCTTTAAGCAAAATAAAAATTTGAATAAAGAATTGGTCAGGTTGCCTGATATACTCGAAACCCCAAACCTTTTCCGACCCAAAATCTGGCCCGACTTTTTCTGCCCCAAACCCAATTCGAATAAAATTTTGAAAATTCGAGCTGAAACTTGACCCGTGTTTTTGATCAACCCAACAGATCCCTGCTTAGAATCAGGGCTTCTAATCAGAGTTGTTTTGACTTTAGATTTTTAAATTTAAATTTTTAAATTTAATTTTCCCCTTCTTTTCAAGTTATTCACTTCAATTAATGGTTGTTCCAACCCAGTCAATGGTAATGGCACCCGGTGGCGGTTTCTTCTCTGTCCAACGAGTTAAATACCCAGTTCAAACATTCTTTTTCTTCAACGAAATGGGTGGTTCTTCACTAAATGAGATCTCAACAAGAACTCCAGCTTTATTACATTTGGTAGATTAGAAAATAATTGTTTATAAAAATTAAAAAAATTTTTAAGGCCCGTTGTGAACTCGATTCAGGTGGTATTCCAATCCCTCGGCATTGCAATCTTCAAGCGGTAAAAATTTTTAACTTTAAAAAAAAATTTTTATTTCTATGAAATTTATAATTTTATAAATCTCTTTCTAAATACATACATTCAAACTAGAGATCGAGCTGGGTCTGGACCAAGGGTTTTGTTCTTTGTCTAGGTTTTTCCTGAACTTCAAGCTCAGGATCCGACCCTGGTCAATAAATCAAACCCAAGAACAGGCCCAGGCTTTTCAAAAATCTCCAATTCAGCTGACCAAATTATTCCAAATAGGGTTGCCGTTTTCGAGTCGGGCCGACGGTCGAGGCATTTTTTTTCGGGCTTGTTTTTATCGAGTCGGGCCGGTACGAGTCTTTTTCGGGCCTTACTTTATCGAGTCGGGCCGATACGAGTCTTTTTCGGGCCTAACTTTATCGAGCCGGGCCGGAACGAGTCACTTTCGGGCCTGACTTCATCGAGTCGGGCATCGAGACATTTTCGAGTCTTTTTTTAAAAGATTTATTTAAAAATAATTAGTGGATTTGGAGGGATATCTGTGAATTAAAAGGTATATCGATGGATCTGGAGGGTAAAGGAAGGGCTGAAGAGAATTGAAATGGATATCAGTGGATTTGAGGGATTAAGGTGATTTAAATTATCGAGGATTGGTGTGAGATATTGCTAGATTTGGTTTTATTAAAGGAGATCAGATGATTAAGGGGATCAGGATCGCATATCAGATAATTAAGGTGCTATATTGTAATGGGATTTAAAAGGATTGAAGAGATTTGAATGGATATCGGAGATTTGATGGATATCGGAGATTTATTTAGATAAGGGCTTACTGGAAAGTCAGGAAACCAGATTTCTTCTATTTTTAGCGCCGCAGGCGAAAATTTTGAGAATTTTGACCCCCTGGATACGCCCTTGACTTAATCTCTCAAACCGCCTTATATTCCCAGATTACACCTTATATCCCGGATGGTGGACTGCGGATTGCGTAAGATTGTGTGTTTTTGACTTGTGGACTGAAGATTACGACTGCGTATTTTAAAGTTAAAATTGCGGACTGCGGAAAATTGTGGACTCTCAAAACTGATTGAGTTTAAAAACTTCAAACGATGATGGGATCCCGCGGAATATATCCTATAAATCCCAGTAATCCAGCTTATCGATTAAAGCCAGTAAGTTCGAGATGTGAAGCAAAGTATGGAGCTTCAGCGCCGCAGGCAAAAATTTTGAGATATTCGGAAGGCTAAAGACCAAATTTCTTCCTTTTTCAGCGCCGCAGGCGAAAATTTTTCGAATTTTGGAAGGCCAAGGAGCAAGATTTCTCCCATTTTTGTCCACAAATCTGGTAAAAATATTATCGAGTCTTGTTCGAGTCGGGCCGACTTTTTCCGAGACAATTTTTTTCGGGCCTGTTTTTATCGAGTCGGGCCGGTACGAGTCACTTTCGGGCCTAACTTTATCGAGTCGGGCCGTTACGAGTCTTTTTCGGGCCCAACTTTATCGAGTCGGGCCGGTACGAGACTTTTTCGGGCCAAACATCGAGGCATGACTCGATCTTTCGGTCCGAGTCGGTCCATTTTGGCAACCCTAATTCCAAACAAACAACTACATAATTTATTTTTGAATTATTCCCATCAAAGCATTTTTGAAAATATTTTTTTTCTCATATTTTATGCAAAACTTTCCTCTTAAACAATTTTCATTTAATTTTTTACCTTTTTATATTTAATTTTGACATATTCTCACATTTTTAATTTTAATCTTTAACTAAACCCTTTAAATATCATGTCCGGAAATTCCGTCAGTGGTCTGAACAAATCCGACAATTCTACTGCTTCCCAACCTACCGCAGCCCAAAAAAATTTTTTTTTGTTTAAGAGTGAACAAAATAAAAAATTATAAAATTATTCAAAAATCCTGGTTCTGGATTTATGTCAGTAAACTGGACAGGATTCTTGATCTTGATCCAGGAAAAATCCAGACTGGATCCAGATCCAGACCGATCTCTAATATGTATTTGAATAAAAAATATATAAATTAATTATATATTTAAATTTATTTTCCCCCCTTTTTCAGGTGCTTTTTAATCCTCAGGGCTCAGTAATTAAAATTTTTATGGTAGAAGTTGATGTTAAAGATATGCCTCCTTGTTCAACAACATTTATTCGGCAAAGAACTTTTTGTGAAACAAAAACGGGTATTAACAATAATTACTTTCCTTCTTCCTCTACTTCTTCCTCTTCCTCTTCATCTACTTCAAATCAAACTGCCAACAAAAATTTAAATATAAAAAACACTACGGGTTTAATGACTTCAATGATGTCTTCTTTAACAATGCCAAATACTACAATAAACAATAGAATGCCATCAACAGCCAGTGCTTTACGTTTTTTGATACATTTGAGGTAGAAAAAAATGGATTTTTTAAGTGGGAAAAATTTCTTCCTAAATATCGAATAAAGGTTTAGGATTTAGAGACTAGACTGGGAGTAGTTCTATGTATGTATGAGCATCGAGATAGGTGTCTCGAGAATTATCGATCTCTCTCTTGGGGCCGTATTAAAAAAGCGGAGTAGAAGAACCTGGTAAATTTACCAGGTCTCTCACTTGGGTAATATGTGGAACACCGAGTTGAAGGGTAACTTTTATTCCGAAAAAATCTACCCAGAACTTGATGATTACCCGCAGTTGCGAATTCAGTTACCTCGATTAACAACCCAAAACTCGGTGTAAGCGCTACACGCTTTTTGGATTAAGGGTTCTGGATTAATTTACCAGCAGCTTAGGGTTAGTTAACTCATACTCCGATTTTAGAATACCACTTCTGATGTCTATCGAAAATCTGATTTAAGCCATTTCCGATTTCCCAACCTCGTTCTTCCCAATCTAAAGATGTCCTATTCCAAAAACATCGAATATTGCAAAAACCGGTTTATTCTTTTTTTTGAACCGGGGATCCTTTTAAGTTAGCTACTCCTATCAATCTAAAGAAAAGATATAACAGAACTAAAATTTAAAAAAATTTTTAAGACTGGCCTCAAACGAAACGGGTTGTATTCGTCTACATACCGATATTCGAATGCTTTTTTCTAATAAATCAACAGAACTTGAAGGTCTTGATCGTCGTCTTTTATTAGCTGTGGCTGACAACAATAATAACAGCAACAACAATAATTCTAATAGAAATCGTTTGTCTTTACCTCCAGGTATTTTAGAGGGAACGATAAATGGTGAGGGAAGTAATAGAATGCATACAATTGCTGAAATGCCTGTTGGACCTAAATATTCGCCTGTTAAATAATTAAATGAGGAGGAATTTAAATAAAATGTGATTTTTAAATAATTGACTAAAAAATTAAAAAAAATTTAAAAAGAAAAATAGTCACAAATTGTACAACGGTGACTGTGTGTGCAAATTATATTAATTAATTAAGAAAAATGTGTGTATATTAATTACATTAAATTTTGAATTTATTTACTATTTTAGTTGTATATTTTTGTTTGGAGTGAGGAAAAGATTTTTTGGGGGTAAGAGGGGGATTGAATAAATATATAGATATAACCCTGCTACAAAGACCTTTAGGAAATTTTTCAAAAAATCTTTTATCTTTTACAAGTTGAAATTGCGGACTTTAGGGGAATAGAAAATCCTGTTTATTATTTTATTGTCTTATATACTAGGGCTGATATAGGACTCCTTTATATCAAATCGAATGGTTTAACTTGCTTAAAATGTATATGTTTAAACTCATACCCAACATAAATAATAGTTATTAATTTTATCAAAACCTCTTTATCAAGACAAGACAAAATCTCATTACTTATATGATGTAGATTATCGGGAAAATCCAAAACAGAAATAATAATCTTCTCTTCTTCTTTAATAGGAAAATTCTTCTTTAATTTTTACAATATTTCTCCAAAAATAATTGTTAGATTTCGTTTAAAAATAAGGCCGGTAAAGTTAATTTTCTTCACTCTAATAAAAAATTAAAATTGGGATTTTTTTACATGAAAATAATTGAATAAAAATTCTGCCTGGTTTCTCATGAAAGCCTTTGTAAAAATTTTTCTAAAAGTCTTTAAAAAATTAATTTAAAAATTTCTTCACTCAAATAAAAAATATATTTTATTAATTTTGACATTTATCTTGTTTTAGCTATTTAACTAAATATTTTACTATGTAAAATGCCTTTTTAAAATTTGGGAAATTTTTTTAAAAAAATTTTTGACCACAATAGAATAATAAAAATATTTTTTTTCAAAAAAAAATATCCCAATTTTTATGTATATTTAAATAATGTACATAACTATTTATGTACAATTTTCAAGATTAACTTGAAATTTTAATTTGATAAATAATTGAATAAAAATGATTTTTGTAGTATTATTTAATTAGAAATAAGGCCGACAAAGTTTTCTTTGAATCCTTGTTTTACAAAAAAATAGCCTCACTGCAGATTTTTTTCAGTTGATTAAAGGTTGGGTTACTACTAGTTAGTAAGGTTGGCGGATCCGGATATCCGAAGATTTCCAACTATCCGCCAACCTTACTAGTTAGTTATTAAAGCTCATGTAATTTCCATGGATTTCTGTTCCTGATTGAAAATAGGAAAATTTTTCTATCACACAATCCTAATATTTCTAGAAAATTTAATATTAAAAAATATTTAGTCAATTGGAACATGGGAAGTAGGAGTAACACCAAAAAATGCTTGTTCTTATAATTTATTAACGGCCTTTAATTGTTGGATTTCGTCAATTTTCCATAAAATTTTTGGATGATGTGAAGTAGATTAATATACATAGGTATATTTTATTGGGTTAGCCTAGCACTTAGATCTAGCTAACTGAACGAAGGTTTAAGATTTTATTAAAAGCTCAAATGGAGAATATCATTATGTATTGAGAAAGTGACTAGCAATAACTGTCAAGAAGTTGCATGATCGATGTCTTTCTGGGCTAATCTTTTACCTCTCTCTCTGACTGTTTATTTTAAATATTAAATTTAAATTTTTTTTAATTCAAAAAAAAAATTAAAAATTAATTTTTATATTTATATTAAACAAAATAATATTTATTTTATCTAAAAATATTTTTTCTTACATTTTATTAAATATTATATTTTCTTCATTAAATTAAAATAAAAAGCTAAATTTTCAGCAAAAAATCATATTTTTTTAATTCTCTTTCGATTGCCAAAATTTTTTTTGATCTTCAATCTTTTTTTAAATTTGATAAAATGTATTGTTACATACACATTCCATAAAAAACTTGTGATAAATTTTTGTAGAGTAGAAAAAATATGGAAAAAAGATGTAATCGGTTTATATATTTTTAATTATTTATTTTAATTTTTATTTTATTGTTTTAATAATCATACGATTATTTAAACGTCGTTTGAATGAAGTAATTTTTAAACGTCATTCAAGATATACTATTCTAAAAATCATGAAAATTTTAAATAAAGTCGGAACTTATTATATTGTCTCCATCAGGGATGTGCTCATGGCGTTTTGGCATATGGCGTGATTTAAAAATTTGAAAAATTAGCGTTTGGCACGCCACAAGAAAATTTTGGCCCACATTCCTTGTTTCCATCATCAAGGATCTCGGGTAGAAAAAATCTGGTAGAAATTCCCGTTTCGCGATTTATGAATTTTTTTTATTCGGACAAGATTTTCGGGATAAATCCTGAAAATCCCTAAAATCCTGATTTTTATCAAACACCCGGATCGGGACCATCGGAAATCACCGAAAATCCGGTCGGGATCCGGCATTTACCAAACATGTTATAACTCTAATACTCGCTTTTTAACCTTTCTTTTTTCTGTTCGAAATATTGAGAGGTCTAACTGTACACGTCATTCTTTTTGTTTGAAAAATTAATTATTAAATAAATTTAAAAAAACTTATCTTTTCTGGATCACATTAAAATCACAATACAGAAACAAAAAAATAAAAAAAAAATTTTAAAGCAAACTAATCAAATAATTTAAAAGATAAGAAAAATTTTCTTTTTGTTTAAAGATTAAAATTGTGTACCTAATTGATAATTTGGTAAAGAAAAAATTAATTTAAAAAGAAAGTAAATATAAATATTTATTTTTATTTATTTATTGGAAATTATTTTTTATTTGTGTTCATTTTTATTTTTTTTATTTTATAGAAATTTTTAATTTTTATCAGAATGCATGATATAATTAATACCGTAAGTTAAAATAATTTTTTGGAGATTTTTTAATTTAAATTTTAATTAGAATATAAGGGTTGGGGTCTGGTTTGGGAGAGGCAAGCTGGCCGCTTAGCAAGTGCCAGCCAGCTTTGAAAAAAACCTTCAAAAAACCAACCACCTCGACTATAACCTTAAAAATATTCTTGACCCAATCTGAATGAACTTATAAAATTCGATTGATTTCCCAAATGGATGTATCACATCTGACCAGTCATCAAAAATCAAATTCGAATTAGATCAAGGATAAAAAGTCAGTCATAGGCAAACAGAGCTGGCTGATCTCAGTTGGCTTCCGAAAGGACCATTCTCCCTCTCTCATATTTATTAAATTTTTTCCTTTATAAGGATAATCCGAACTTTAGTTTAAGAAAAGGTGGAATGGCTGTTTGCTCAAATTTGGAGTTTAGGAAAATAGATCTAATTGAGAAGTTTGCATTAACAAAAATAATGTGAATATTCTAATTAAAGCCTTAGGATTCTATTTTCGACTAGATTCCTTTTGAATATGGGTTCCTATTAGAAAGGGGGTGTTTAATAACTATTTAATAAAGTATTCTTTAAAGGATGATGTGCCAATAACTCCTTCACGACTTGCTGAATTAATTCGACATTTTTATTCGTTAGGGTGGATGCGTGATAATGGAGGTTACTAGTCAAAAATAATTAAGTAAAAATTAAAATTATTTAAAAGGTGGAATGGCTGTTGCCTGTGGAGATGTTATTTATAGTTCACCAACATCTGTGCAGAAGGAAAAACTTTCAGAGTTTTTAAATAAAAATTATAAAAATTATTTTTATTTTTAAAGAAAAGAATTATTTATAATAGCCCAAACTGACGGTAAAATTTTGAAACGACCGGCAAATCCAGCTTCTGTACCTTCAGCAACTGCTGGATTGCTTTACAAAACTGGATCTAAATGTGTTGTAAGTTTGTTGAGAAAATAATACATGAATAAATAAATATTATAATTAGAGACCGAACTTGAGTGATCGTTCGATAATATCGACATCGATATTTTCCATCGATATATCGTATCGATCCGGTCTCTAATTATACTTAGGTATAGGGTTAACGGTTCGTAACCGAACTGAAGAACCGAGGATTCGAGATTTTCCAAACCGATTCAAGTTAGGTACCTGTATTGACTAGGTGTTAATATTTTGACTGGTTTTGTAGTTTTTCCGAAACTTAAAATATTTATTAGAGACCAGTGCTGGGTATTTGCCATTTGTTGGCTCCGGCTCCGGGCTCCGGGGTTTCAAATTCTTGGCTCCGGCTCCGGCTCCGGGCTCCGGGGTTTCAAAATCCTGGCTCCGGCTCCGGGCTCCGGCCTTTTAAAATCTTGGCTCCGGGTCCAGCTCCGGCTCCGGAGCCGGCGATTTTCGGAGCCGCTCCATGTTGGCTCCGGGCTCCGGGTGGAAAATCAATGAATTATTTTTCATTGGGTGATTTGGGTAGATAAAGGGGGATATCGAGTGATATAAGAGGATTAAGGGGTTATTAATAAATTGGGTGGATTATCGTGTTATTTAGGTGGATTAAGGGCTATATCGGGGGGATTAAGGAGATTTGGATCCAAAAATCTTCATTTTTTGCGCCGCAGGCGAAAATTTTTAAAATTTTGGACGAGTTTTAAGCCAAAAATCTTCCTTTTTTGGCGCCGCAGGCGAAAATTTTGAAAAAAATAGACCAAAATTAATCAATTTAAAAAATTTATCAAGCTTTATTTAATAAAAAAATCTTTATTATAATTTATTTTCCGAGGAAAAACAATTATTTAATAATTTTTGTGTTATTTGTCGAACCTATAATCGGATAAAACTAGGAACCTAACTCACTATCCATTCAACCACAACAACTTTGAAAACAAAAGGAAAGAAAATCGTTTTTACCCGTCTCAATTTTCTCTTCCTTTCTTTTCACGCCTACCATCTTTGCTTACCTCTTTTTCTCTAACCCATCTTTAGGGGTGTATAGCCGGAGCCGTGGGGAATTGAAAAACCTTGGCTCCGGCTCCGGCTCCGGGCTCCGGGGTTTCAAATTCTTGGCTCCGGCTCCAGCTCCGGCTCCGGGGTTTCCAAAATCTTAGCTCCGGCTCCGGCTCCGGCGGAGCCGGAGCCGGCTCCGGAGCCGGGCTCCGGAGCTAGCTCCCGGAGCCATACCCAGCACTGTTAGAGACTGAACGATTCAATTTCTACATATTCTGATCGGAAAATACCTATTAACTAGGATTCTTCACTACCGCTTATCAACCTGTCGTTCCTCCGGTTTTTGGTTATCGCCGGTTTTTGACCCCCGGTTTTTGGTTTAGGCTAATTCTCCAAAAACGCCGGTTTTAGGTTCGGTTTCCTTTCGAACAACCCTACTATGTATTAACCCCCCTAGTCAGGCACAATTATTTCTCTTAATTTACCAAATTTCTAATTAAAATTTTAATCCCAATTTTATTTTCTCTTTTCTATCAAGATACATACACATTCAAAATATGCAAATTTACTAACACAATTAATAAGAGGGGATCATTTTGCTATTAACAATCAAGAAATGATTCAAGGGGTAGAAAATCGTAAAACTGGACGTCGACTTGATAATATTGACAGAGTTTTTGTTCCAATAATTGATTCGGAATTAAATGAATTATTGTTAAGTGTAAGAGAATTTAATAGAAAATATTTTTCTAATTTAAATTATTTTTCAATAGCCAATTCTTTTGCGAACTTTGGAAAAATATCCTGAGGTAAAAAATATTTTTTAAGAGAATTAAACTCTAATTTTGGGCACAACTTTAAGATTTGCTTAAAATTGAATGTATCGCTTAGGCATTTTTTAACCCACAGACCTAGCCAAATTAAAAATTAAACATAAAATCGAAAGTGTTCGTAAAATTAAGGTCGGGATTGTATTAAAATAAGTATTGCTAGTAATGTTGACGGACACGGATATCCGAATGAAGAAGTCCAAATATTCGAAATTTTCTGTTTGGATACTGCCAACCCTAGTTGGTAGTGATGGCCTACTGGTTTTCTTGCTATAACTGGTCAATTGAAATTCTGAAAACGGGAGACTAGTTTTCTCTTTTTAGCTTAAGTTTAGTTAAACCCTGATAAAGATTAATACTCTCTGTCATCACTATAACTAGAGTTGTCGGTTCTGAACCGAACCGAAGAACAACGATTTTTCGGTTCGGCTCTTCGGTTCGGATCTGGATATCTTAAGATTTTCCAGTAACCGACAACCCTAACCATAACTATCTAAAATTTATTTCTTAAATTTTAATATAATTTATAAAGGCCTCAGCTATACTAGTCCGTGGACATGGCTTTTTTGCATTTGGTTCTCATTCTTGGCAAAGCACAAAATTAATGTATGAAAAAAATTTTTTTTAATTAAAATTTTTATTTTTTTCAAATTAAAAAGGTTGGAATGTTATGAATATTTATTTGAATTAGCTTGTGATATGATTAAATACAAATTGCCTTTAATTAAACCGATAACTAATGGAACACAACAAATGAGAGCTGTCTAGAATTAATGAAGGAAAAATTAACAGTGATTGGAAGGAAGCTCTCTCAAAATTTTAAACAAAATTTATAAAAAATAATCAAAACATTATAGTCGAATCTCATTTTTGAATACTCAGGGGCTAAAAAAGTTTACCTTATAATGAGGTGTATTTTAATTAAAAGGGTATATGGATTGTTTGGACAGCTCCCCTATCCAATAGTAAACCAATTGTTAAATTAAATAATTAATTCGGAAAGGGGGGGGGGAATGGTGCAGAATTGGAGAGATACCTTAAAAACGCCTTAAAAATTATTTTTCTAAGCCGATTTTGAGGGTGTTTTTAAGGTGTCTCCCCAATTCTACACCATAACCGGAAGAGGGGCAAAACAATGCCAAACAGTAACGATACCTCTTCTAGTTATCTAAAAATGAGTTTCGGCTAATTAATTTTTACATTTTTTACCATAACCTTCTAAAATTAACACAAATGTACATCTTCTAATCCCTCAATTTTATTTTACAAACACAAATAAATATACAAATAAAAATTCAATTAATACACAAAAAAAAATATTTTTATATTTTCCTTAAATCACAAATAATTCTCTTCTCTCATTTCTTCATTTACTGCTTAGCCTGGGGTTCTTTGAATTCCTTTGGTTTGAATAGAGCAAAGGAAACTTCCAAATCCGGACTAATTTTAGCAACAGCACCCCAATTGTTAGTTTCTGGATTATATCGAACTGCTGAGAATACAGTGATTAGTTGGTTGTTTGCAAAGGTTGAATATCCATATTGAGCAGCCTAAAAGGGAGTAAAAATATTTATTTTAGAATTTTTAAGGTAAGGGGCTAGAAGTAAAAATTTGCGTTTTTGGCGCACACTTGAGAAAAGAATAAGGGTAACTGAGCGCAATTTGAAAACGCCAAAAACAAGTTAAGCCTTAAAAATTTAATTTTTCACCTGATGCGCTCGCATAATCATATGAACGCCAAGAGTTTTGCACATTTGCCTAACTGCATCAGGGCCGAACATAACAGAGCAATTTCTGTAGGGATTAGGTTCCCAGTCTGGCGGTTTAGGTTTCTCCGTATTTGGATCTGCCCAAAGCAAATCCTGAACCAATCCGGGTGAGATAACCATAGCAATTGGCCGCTTCATTGATCGAATGTCGTTCAGTGATTTTAGATGAGGGGAAATGCCACCTGAAATAAAAAAAAAGAATTGTTTTTGAAATTTTGATGCTATTTGAAGGGACACTCCCCCACACTTAAGGGGAAATCCCTCTAAAAAAGAATCTTCTCTAAAAAGCGAAAGGATGAGTATCCCTCCCAGCCATTTTTAATTACCATGCATGCACAGGATTTTCCCTCCAATCAGAGCAGCCAAAGGCAAATAGGCAAAAGCATCGTTAAAGTCATTCCACAACTGTTCAGCCTGTTCCGCTCCAAAACGACGTACCAACTCATCATAGAAGCCATAAACTCTAAAAATAAAGATTATTTGATTAAAAATAATCTTCTAAATTTTTACTTGTTGATATGATGCAATTCGTGATTCCCACGTAGCAGAAAAATGTGCTTGGGATACTGAATTTTACAAGCGAGCAGCAGGCAAATGATCTTAAAAAGAAATAAAAATGTTTGAAAGTCTAAGCAACATTCTAAACAAGCAACACACCTCCAACGAATTTCCACCCCTATCAACAAAGTCGCCAAGAAACAAATAACGCGTTCGATGTGGAGGTCCACAGGAATGAAAAATCCTCAAGAGATCTGTGTATTGCCCATGCAAATCGCCACAAACATGGATTGGCCCTGTTGTTTCAATTAGCGTCGGCTGTTGTTGAAGAGAATCAACTGCACGATCGACGAGCTGCTGGAGTTGCCCAAATTTATATCGATAGCCTTTGCGACCTCGGACTAGATGGCGGCGGATAAATTCGCAGAGGTCAATCTGAAAAAGAAAAAAAATTCGAAAATATTTTGGGCAGTTTTTTAAACTTACTCGATTGAAGACTGCCGAACTTGCAGATTTGCTCATTGTAGTATTTCTTGATCTTGTCTCACCTAAATAAAAAATTGATAGCCATTTTTGAGAACAAAAATCTGAAAAATTCTCACTTGGATTGATGCCAGCAGTAGCTCCCTCGCGGTTGGACATCATCGAAGGTGGGGGCTGAAAAACAAAGATTTTTAAAAGAAAGTCAAGACTAACAAGATTTTCTTACCCTTAAACTGAGGTTGCTAAAAGAGCCTCCCTTCCCTTCACTTTCACTAGACGCTGTATGGGCTTCTTGTGACTCCTGTCGTTTTGCCATTGCTGCTGGAGAAAGCATTAACGAGTCAGGAATCTCCATCTCTGGAAGTTTTGGCCGTTCTGGAAGAGCTGCTGCTGGTCCTAATGGAGTTGGAGGTGCTTTGGAGCCGGCTTCTTCTTTTGCTGTTGATTTTATGTAGTCTGAGCCTGTTGGCGGGACGACTTTTGGCGTAGCTGACAGATTTGGATCGCCATCATAGTAGGACATAGCTTACTGATTGGAATAGACACAACAATGCTGGGCAAAATAGGCGTAGAGGTCAGTCTTTGAAGCGAGTGAGCAAAGGAGTGTCGGTAAGCAATTCTTATTATGCTTGGCTTAAATACTAAAATTTTGAGAAAGAAGAAATCGAAATTACACCCGATCCTTTCTTAAGTTTATTTCAGATGGTTTTCTACAATTTATTACGTTAATTCTTGTGAATTTGAATAAAGCTTTTGCTGCAATATAAAACGTTGACGTTTTGTTTATTTAATTTTTGGCATTATGTTCATAATTCGGAAATTTCTTAATTTCTGATTTTTTTTCAATCTAATTTTTTTAATCTATAGAAAATAAAAAATTTTTTTAAATGTCAACCAAACAAAAAACAAAGCAAAGAGATTTGTCTTCGGATAGTTCAAAGTCTGGAAGTTCAAAAAATGATTCGAGTGTTGGAGATGTGAAGGATACGTCTCCGGCAAGTGACAAAGTTTTTAATAAATATGGAATGGCTGCTGAGATTGTTAATACTGTTTTGAAGGTTTTTTTAGTTAAAATAATTATATTTTGGGTATTACTGAAGAATTGAGGGAGGGGGAGGGGAGGTAAAGGGATACTTACTCCGTTTTCGAGTCCGGCCGACGGTCGAGGCATTTTTGGCTTGTTTTTATCGAGTCGGGCCTGTACAAGTCTTTTTCGGGCCAAATATCTTAGTCCCGACTCGATCTTTCGGTCCGAGTCGAGCTATTTTGGCAACCCTAGTGGAGGGGAGAGGTTTGCCTTCGGGTTTTTTGCGAATTTCTCTAATGTTTCCTTCATCTTTAGCTACTTATCCGCAAGTTCACGGAAAAGCCTCCATTTTCAGTTGTCAATTTCTGACAAAATATTTTTTAAAGGAAATACTTGCCGAATTAAAAGTTGATGCAGAAGTTGGTCAACTTTGTTCTCGTGGTGATGCTCGTATATTGGAATTAACTTCAAATCTCTTCAAGAGAGAGAAGAATGTTCAGAAAGGGATTGGTATGTTTTTCAATCAGTAATTTTTTCCTCTTTTGGATTTTATTTTTTTATTTTACTTTTTTTACTTCGAAAATATTTATGGGAAGGTTCGGCCTGTGAAAATTTTTGGATTTTGTGTTCCGTTCATGATTTTATCTGGTTTGAAGCTGTATATAGTGTCGTTTCCCGGCCTCATTTTTTCCTCCCCAATTTTTTACCCTATGTTTGTACGGAATGGTCAAATTTTCCCCTTTCTTTCATCAAATTTGCCTTTCCTTATTTTGCCTAAAATCAATCAAAAAGATTAATTTTTTATTCAGTTCTTTCACAAGGAGAAACACCAAGCATGAAAAATGTTTTCTGGCTATTATAGAAGGGAAAAAAAGTGCGGAAAATATCACAAATTAATCTTTTTGATTGATTTTAGGCAAAATATGGAAAGGCAAATTTGATGAAAGAAAGGGGAAAATTTGACCATTCCGTACAAACATAGGGTAAAAAATTGGGGAGAAAAAATGGGGCCGGGAAACGACACTATTACCGCTGTATAAGATTACACAGATTTTGGTTCTCAGAATCCGTGTCAGACCCGTAGCCAGGGGGAATTCTTCCCCCCTACCCCGAAGATTTGTGGAGGGGATTGGACAAAAAAGTATTTTTCGGCCTACGGCCTTCCAAATTTTTTAAAAAAAATTGCATGTTATTTTCTGTCGCCTCAATCTCAGCCTCAATCCCAGCTCAGTCAGAAAGTCCGCGGCGCTAAATATTAAAATCTTCCCCACTTGCCATCCCACCCGGAAAAAAAAATTGGCTACAGGCCTGATCTGTGTGCATTTAAAACCGTTTCCTGAGTATTAAACAATAAAATATCTTTATTTTTATTCTAGCCAAATAATTTTTAATTTAGCAATGCCAACATGTATTTCTATTGATAATTGTGTTTGTCATTTTTCTCCACTCCGAAGCGAACCTCCAGTTCTTCTTAAAGAAGGCCAAGTAGTAAAAGTTGATTTGGGTGCTCATGTTGATGGTTACATTGCAACAGCAGCCCATACAGTTGTTATTGGTGCTAATAGGGTTTTTTAATTTTTAGTTTTTAAATAAAAAAATTTAAAGGACAATAAAGTAACAGGCAAAAAAGCTAATGTGATTGTCTCTGCTTATAATGTAATGGAAATGGTTTTGAGAATGTTGAAACCTGAAAAGAATTTTAAAAACGTAGAAATATCTGAGAAGATGGGAAAATTGGCTAAAATTTATGAAACGGTTTTTTTGAATTTTTAGAAAATTTTTAAAATTTAAAAATTTTATTTAAAGACACCAATTGAGAATATGCTCTCTCATAATATTGAGCGATTCAAACCTGTTGGTGATAAACAAATTATACAAAATCCTGGCGATGAGCAGAAGTCTAAATCGGAGAAGTGCACATTTGAGACTTTTGAAGTTTATACAATTGATGTACTTATTTCGACTGGAGAAGGTTTTTTTTATTTATAGTGTATTTTTGGATTTAATCTATTTATCAAATTTTTACTTTTATTTATTAAATGATGCCTAATATCCTCATGTAAGAGCGTAGCCAACGTTTTGGTGCTAATGCCCCCCCCCCCGAAATGGGGAAAAGGGGAAAAATTTGAGGGGGATTGAGCAAAAAAGTGACGTTGAAAAAAATGCGGCGTTGAAAAAAATATGGTTCAAAAAATGAGTTAGGAAAAAATGCGTCCCCTAGCTACACCCTTGTCCTCTTGTAATTCTTGTTGTCTCAAAGATTGAATTTTGTAGGGTTAGGTGTTTTATAAATTCTAATTAAAGTCATAGCCTTCCTCGAGAACGCTTTTGGGGAAATTTTTAAAGTTTTACCTTTAATTTTCCAACCACAAAAGGGATTCTAATTTTTTTCAAAAATTCCTTGCAAGTTAAAAAAAATTTTTTTTAATTTTCAAAGTTCAATTTTATCAGAATACATTATTAAATTTAATATTGATTTTATTAAATTTAAGGAAAATCAAAAACATTGGATGCACGTACAACAATTTTTAAGAAGACAGATGATATGGTTTATAATTTAAAATTAAAGGCATCGCGATCATTTTTCCACGAAGCACAGCAAAAGTTCGGTTCAATGCCTTTTTCAATAAGAGATTTTGAAGATGAAAAAGTGGCAAAGGTTGGAAGTACTGAATGTGCTAAACATGATTTGATGCAGCCATATCCGGTTTTTTTATTTTTTAATTAATTACGGCATTTCCTTTGTACTAGACATTTTCAGTTAGTAAATGTTTCTGCTCCAAAAATATGGATTTCCTTCCATATCTTTGAGGGATTTTATTTTGGGAATCTTCCATATTTATAGCTTTATTAGTTTTTTGTAAAAGTCGTTCGTGTCTTCTTTTTCCACTTTCATTTATAATATTTTTGGTGCCCTTTTTGTTGTTTTAACAACAGACATTTGCATATTCTTCTACCAGAAAAGGGAAATCTCCGGAATCGGTATTCTTCTACCTGGGAAATCTCCGGAATCGGTATCCGGATCGAAAATTTCCCGATATCCGGGGTTTTTTCGGTTCCAGATATCCGGAACCGCCAACCTTAGCAGTAAGTGCTGACATGAACTAAATTCAAAAATAAATGAAAGTGAAAAAAGGGGTCCGTACAACACGTAATTAATTTTTCCAAAATCCTCTCTTTCCTTTACTTTTATTAAAATTAATATTTAACCAAAAATTATTTTATCATTTTCTAGGTTCTTTATGAGAAAGAAGGTGATTATGTTGCTCAATTTAAATGTACAGCAATAATAATGCCTAATGGAATATATAAAATAACTGGAATTCCTTTGGATAATGCAATTTTAAAATGTGATGTTAAAATTGACAATAATGAATTTTTGGGACTTTTAAATGAACCTTTAAAACCAAAAAAGAAGAAAGGTGGGGGAGGAGAAAAGGAGAAGGAAATTAATAATAAAGAAGCTGAAAATAATTTGGTAAAGGAAAAGAAAAAGGAGGAAGAGGTTGAAAAAGTTGAAACGAAAAAGGAAGAAAAAAAAGAAGACAAGAAGGAAAATAAAGGAGAAAAATTGGAAGTTAAGAAGGAAATGCCAAAAAAGAAAAATGTTGAAAATAAGCAAAAGAAGAAGGAAGGTTAATTGAAGGAAGAAGGGGAAGGAAGGGAAGAGTTTAAATTTTAGAAAATATTTTTTGATGATGAGGTGAGGATTTTAAAGTGTAGTAAGTTTGTGTGTGTTTTTTGGATAATGTTATATTTTAATTATTCGGGCGTAAAAAGAGTTGTTGTAATTAATTAAATGAGAAACTTTAAAACTCTGAGGAGGGCTCGAGGAAACTTAAAAACTCTGAGGACCCCAACCTACCGCCGAGGCTATAACTTCGTTCAAAATTGTCGAATCCGGGAATGACCTGATATGGTTCGATTCAGTTCGTCGAGGCGCATCGAACCTTACCATGGCGTCCCGAATTCGACAATTAGAACGGAGTTATAGCCTCGGCGGTAGGTTGGCCTACTCCCCGGAGGAGAGCAACAAAAAAAAGAATTTTGATTTTTTAATTTAAATTAATTTTTTGGTTGTTTCTCATTTAATTATTTATTTAACCTCTTAAATTTCTGCCTTTCTTTGGCTTTTATTATTTTTTTCAAGTCAAAATCATTGCTGGGTATGGCCTTGGGAACTATCCTAGGAGGTGGCTCTAGTTCGAGCTAAAATTTTCTCAAAACGCCTAAATACCCAGCACTGTTCAAAATTATATATTCGCACAATCATCTTCTGTTTTTAATAATATGATTGTAATGTGTGTGTTTTTTCTCCTTTTGCCTCATAAATAAAAATTGTTTTTGATAAAATAAATTGTTAAATTTTTTAAATAAAAGGAGAAAATTTAAAACAAAATTTTAATTTTAAATTAATAAAGAAACATTTTGTTGAAAAATAGTTAATATTTATTTAGGGTTTGTTTTGAAGTTCAAAGGGATGTTGTTGAACTTACAAGGGAACATTCCGAACTGTATGTGAAAATTTCGTAATTTTTGAAGCCCTATAACTTTCCGATTTGGAGGGTAGGGCCAAGAAAGGAAAAAAACTAGCAATAGGAAATCGACCCTGCTCTACACGATGGTGCAAAAAAAAATTTCGAAATTTTCACATATACAGTTCGGAATGTTTCCTTGTTAGAATTTTTTTCAAAAATTATTAAATATAATTTATTGCGATTTCGAGTACACCCCCAATCTTCCGTACCCAAAAGGGATTTATCCAAATAAAATTAGGATGTGATAAGTTCATTATATCCAGTCAAACTTACTCTAATTTTTCTAAGATAGATTTGAGTTAGGTTTAGTTATATGTATTAGAGACCGAACTGAGAGAGTTTTGAGAGAATTAAGATTGATATTTCAAATAATCTCGATTCTCGCAAATATCTTTCTCGATAACCGAGATTTTTATAGAAGATCATGTATCGGTCCAATTTACTGTTGTAGCTTTGTGGTAAACTGGCTTACTCCCAAAAATTATTTTTTAAATTTTTTCTTGATTTTAATTAAACAAATGTTCTTTTAAAAAATATTTTTTTCCTCAGCTGGAATTTAAAATTTAAATTAAAAACATTTTTTAATAGAAAAATGAACATTTGTTAAGTTTTAAAAAAAGTACAATTTTTATAGCTCAAAGGACAGAAAAAGAAATTTTTTGATCTCATTCACCCTCTAACACACACATTTTTAAGGGAAAAATAAAAATATTGATTTCCCAAAAATCAACCCAAAAATATTTTTAAAAAAAGTTTCAAATTTCAAAAATAAATTGTTTGTTTGTTTCTATTTTTGTGAATGCGTAAACAAACTAGTAATAAATTCTCTCCATCAATATTCTCAATTGGTAAAGTAATGTCTGATTATAATTTAAATCGGTCCCGTTCTGCTGCTATTCTTGATTCGAAATCTCTTTTTGCATACCCGGTAGGTTTAAAATATTTTTTTAAATTACAAGAGGATAGGAAAAGCATTAGTTTTTAAAATTGACAATTGTAAGGCCGTGATGATTCTAAAAAGGTGTGAAGAGGCTCGCTCAAACTACAAAAAGCATTCCCATATAGCTATAATAAGCCGCCTATTATCTAAACTTAACATCGCCACCAACTTATCCTCAGTGTTTCGAGTTAAACAAAATTATTTTTTTGGGGTTTCAGGTCATGTCTATCGGTCAAGTCATGTCTATTACAGGGTGACCGATTCCAAACCACTAAAATAGGGCGCAGCCACTCAAAAATGTGGCAAAAATAGGGCGAAATTGGTCAAAAATAGGGCAAAAAATAGGGCATGATTTTAAAAAATAATTAAAATCTCAAATAAAAAGCCTTATCTGCATATTTTCACTAGTTTTAACTAAATTAAGCACATAGGGATCGAGTTGTTTCTAAATAAATATTTTTTTAAGCTCTTAATCAAAAAAATTTCGAAAATATCGATGAAGATAATTTTAAAAATCTTTTGATTCGAAATTCTAAAAATAATCTCGAAAATCGGAACCGGGAGTCGAGCCGAATTTAGGATATCCGATTTGGATCCGACAATCTCGCAAACTCCCGTACGCGATCCTTTCTCGCATCCTCTCATAATAAGCTAATAAGTTCAGCGCCGCAGGCGAAATTTTGAAAATTTTGGAAGGTCAGTCTCATTATTTCTTTCATTTTCAGCGCCGCAGGCAAAAATTTTAAGAATTTTTGACGTCCAAGAGTAATATTTCTTCAATTTTCACATTTTATTTACAAAATCCAAAAAAACTTTAGAAATATTACAAAATGGTAAAAATAGGGCAAAAATATGGCAAATGAAAAAATAGGGCAAAAAGTTCAAAAATAGGGCAAATGCCCTATAGATAGGGTAAAATCGGCACCCTGGTCTATTACAATTAATTTATGATAGTTTATATATCTATTACATATCTATTACAATTAGATAAAGCTGAGTTCCGCAGATATTCTGGGATATCCGCTTAACTATTATATACTGGTAGAAACTAAAAAATAAATGGGATAATAGTTAATGAAAATATGATGGATAATCTAAAGGGTAATTTGCAATATGCGAACTTTTTAATTTTACTATGGAGATTTAATTAAAAGTATCTTAACTTTAATTATAAAACTTTGTTTAATTAAAAATTTAATTATTTTTAAAAGATATCAAAAACCTACTCTGTTCCCAATATTTCTGATTATTCAATTAATTATACTCAATATCACGGACTCAAAACTTATGACATTGTTCGACCTACAGCATATACAACATATCGTTCTTATTTTCCATACAAGAATTATGAGCCTAATTATTTGGTAACAAAATAATTTTTAATTAACAGTCAAACCTCTATTTTGAAAACCTCCAATATTAGATACACCCCTATTTAAGATATGATCTTTTAAAATTTGTTGGCCACTAAATATTGGGGCCGGGGGAGCTTCTAGGAGATACCTCTACTTTAAATCCCTTATAAAAGATAGCCTCAGGATTCCCTCATTATAAGACCCAGGGGTGTATCTAGAGGTTTGACTGTATTATTTTAAAATATTTTTAGAAAAACCTTTATTGGAATGACAAGCCAACATATTATTCTAATTCATATAATCGAGTATTACAACCTAGACATTATACCGATCACATGAAAAGTCCTTATTTTCTAAATCATTCTTGTACATATTACCCTTTTAAATATAATTACAACGATTTTTGGTTGGTTTTATAAATTTAAAAATAATACCTTTGGGGCGAATTAAATCCGGATTTTAACACTGAGTTTAAATTAGAGGTCATTTACCCTAATTTTATTTGCCGACTTTGAACAGATTCTTGACTTACAAAACATGAGGTACACAGTAAAATGTTTCTATAATTTGGATAAGTTACTAGATTTCCAGATCCGGGCAAGTCATTACTGATAATTAACTAAAGATTATAGCTAAAATCATACATTGCCGTTAAAATTGTGTATGAATGAGAGAACAAACGGGAAACGGAATACTCGGAACATCACATCACTCCTAGTCCGGTTCCAAATCCCCACAAGGCTCTCTCATGCTGGTAGAAACAATGCTAACTATCTGCAGATAAATCGCTAGCTGCAGATAAATCCGTAGTAACAATGCTAAAGATTAAAATCCGTAGCACTATCTGCAGCTAAAGTACAAAAAAATCGGTAGCTTTATCTGCAGATACCTATCCATAGCAACAATGCTAAGGATAGGGTAGCGGATAGGGTATCGGCTAGGGTAGCTACAGATAAAATCGCTAGCCTCCTATTTAGGTGGATAGTTGCATTATTTTAAATATTTAAAAAATTATAATAAATTTTAAAAATTTAATAAAAATTCAAAATAAAAAGAATTTAGTTCAAAATAAATTATTTTTCATTTCTAAACATTTTTTCGCCAAAAAAAAACAAATATCAAAAATTTCAAAAATTTAGTTAAAATAATTTTGTGCTATATTTGACCTAATCCCCCAATATTTTCCAATTTAATTCGAATGGGTTTGTAGAGCATGAAAACGCTTTTTCCATCTACCAAATGTCTGTTCAATAATTACACGCGTCCTAACATGAGCAGCATTAAATCGTTGTTGGGCAGCTGTTGTAGGGTTGGGAAAAGGTGTTAGTAACCACTTACGGCATGGATATCCGCTATCACCTTAAAATTTTTCAAAAGAAGAACTATAAATAAATACCTAACAAAATTCCACGTTAACAACTGCTAAAATACTTGTTTAATGAATCATAGATAAAAATAAACTGACCTTGCACATTGATGCTTGACCAACCCTTTCTATTGTAGTAATCTCTTCCATGCTGCTTTTCTGAAGGGGTAAGGATTGGGATATGTGTGCAATCAATTAATCCAACAACATTAGGCATACCGGCAATAGCATTAAAAGCAGGAACAGTATTATTCCTCGCCTGAATTTAAATGATTTGAAAAAATTTTTAAAAGTTTTTACTTGTTCATACTCCTCAAAGAAGATAAAATCTCCAGCTTTTAAACACAGTGCTCTCGTCACGCGGCGAATCGAGTTTGAAACGGACCTTTGAGAAATTCCCAAAATGTCACTACACCATAATTGAAAGGAAGATGAAGCTAAATATCCTAAAGTAGCCAAAACTTGAATTTCTGTTGATAAGGCACCAGATTTTCCGGTTCTCGGTTCAACATCATTTCTGACAATATCACAAATGTACTTAAAAATTTAATTTTAAAATTTCTAATAAAACTAGAACCTTAATTCCTTGTCTATTAAATCTAAATCTCTTTAGTAAATCTTCATCAGAAAATGTATTTAATACATTATTTCGTCTCAAATAAATTTTTTCATTTCGTTGATTTCTGCCATCATCCTCTTCTTCAAAAGGCATAAAACAAACAAAAGCCATCCTGCAAATAATAGAAATATTTAAACACTTTAAAATATTAAAACATTTTAATAAATGTAAATTAAAAATTAAATATAGATTTAATCATTTATTCAAAAATAAATTTCAAAAAAAAATTAGTCAAACATGTTATGATTCATAAAATTTACGGCCACATCTAAAAAATTCAATTCCTTCCTCCATAAATTTGTTTGCTTTTGTCAAATATTCTTTTTGCATTTCGATTCTTTCCATCTCGCCTTTAAGGACCTTTAATTTGAGTTCTTCAATTTCCAATGCTTTTGGACGAATTGGAATTCTAGAAGTTGTTGAGGTGTCACATGAATGTCGACTCTTAAAAATTTAAATAATTATTTAATGATTTAAATTTAAAATTAATTTTGACATTTTTTGGTCTTAACAATTCAAAATTCAAAAAAACCTGCCTTTTTAATATTACCACTTTTTGGAGTCTCCATCTGTTCCAGCTCAAACAAATCTGCTTCTTCATTTTCTAGATCATCGTCCCCTAAATCTTCCATCATTTGGAGTACTTCACCACGAGAAATTCCAGATTCAAAACCTCTAGGTACACCGGAGAAAGCAGCAGATGTTCCAAACATCTCTATTACTTTTTGTGCAGTCCCAGAAATACTTGAAGAAGGCCCTCCCCCAGTTGCCATTTTATGCCTAAAATTTATTAAAATAAAAGACTAGTGAAATAAAATCAAACTTTTTATTTTTTTGAGCCTCTTCTTTCCCATTTTGACGTAAATTTTTCCACCTTGTTTGTACTTGTATTATTTTCAATCCGCCCACTGGGACATCATTAACAAACTCGTTGTTTAAAATTGATGTAACATCGGCCCAAGCCTCTTTTTGAATTCTACTAGCATCGGCATTTCTTGATCCAGGGAAAAGATTTTCTTTATTAGCTTGGATTAATTCAAGAAGCCTGTTAGTCATTTCTGGTGTGAATACCATTTTAATAAAGATAAACGAAAAATTATCTTCCTAAATTTAATATATTAATCACATATAAAAAATAGAAAAGAAAAAAAGTAAAAATTTAACAAAAAAATTAAAAAAAGAAAAAAAGTAAAAATTATTTTATAAATGCTCACAATTTTCTATTTATTCGAAAAATCAATTTTTGGCGCGAATTTAAATTTTAAAATATACTCATATTTTGCCTATCTGCAGCTAGGTATCTGCAGAGTTGCAGCTACATATCCTTAGCATTGTTACTACGGATTTTATCTGCAGATTTTTTTATCTGCAGCTACCCTATCTGCAGCTATGTCGCTACGGATTAAAATCCTTAGCATTGTTTCTACCAGCATCAGTGTCCAAATAAATTTTCAAATATCAAAGTAATTAAATTAAATTTCCTAAAAAAACTTTTTTAAGGTATGGCTACAAAACACCTTCATATTACCGAAATTATTATTATGTATCGCCATATTATGATTATTATTCAAACAATACATATAATTATCGTTACAATTATCGTTAAAAATAAGGAGAAGGATAAAAGAAAAATTATTTTTAGGAAAATTCATGTAAAATATTTTTTATTCTAAAAAATTAGAAAAATGTCTGTCAAAAATGAAAATAAAATAAATTTTTAATTTTTGTTTAATTGGGTTGTCTTTATCTGAGAAAAGAAGGGAATACAAATATATTTATTATTTACTATTATTATCCAGCCGGACATTATTCTTCAACAGAGTGATTAAACTACTTTTTTACTACTTTCCTTGATCTGGCAATAACCATAAGACTAATTAATCCTTTAATTGATTATATCCTTCGCTTATTTCCTGGATTATATTGCCCATAGGAGGGGTGGCGCTTGTCCCACAAAATGCGAGATACGAAATCTCTCAAAAATACGAGATTTTACGAGATACGAGACTAACGCCACCCCTAGCCTATAGGTATTCGGGCATTTTTTTCGATTTTCGTTTTTCAAGTTCGATAATTTTTAGTCTCGGTCCATCGTGCTGAAGGCACAAAAAATACTCGATTACATCTAGTTTATATAGATTTTTTTCTATAGATTTGGCCTATGGCACCAAAAAATTGTCTCGAGTCTTGTAATCGTCTTAGTCTTGGAAAATTTTCGGTTTCGGACGTCTCTAGGATTTATTACTAAACTTGGTAGTAAACTAAATAAAGAATTGTGATTTATAATTTGTAATTAAAAGAGATGAGTAATTTTTATAAGATGGGAGTTAACCTGATAACGAACAAATTTTTTACCTAAATTTTGCTGCTTTTTTAAATAAATATGAAACCATTTTTCTCAAGTTCCGGTATAAAATTTATTATTTAAAAAGGGGCTACTCAACCCAGAAAATTATCATTTAAAAATTAAAACACAAAAGAAATGTCCATTAAAAATAATTTAGCCTTCCCTCTAATTTTATTTTTCTCCATTTATTTATTTTTCTTTTTAAATTGGAATTTTGTTGAATCGAAAAATTTGGAAAGCCGAAAGCTTGATATTTTAAAAATGAAAAAAATTTTAAGCAAAGCAGGAAGGAAATTTAATTTTAATAAAACAGAGAAGAGAATTTTGAGAAAAAATAATGAAGAGGAGGGATTCTTTGTTGATTTTGCTTTGGCTATCTATAAATATTCTATTAATCATAAGGACTATGATTTACATGAGGACTATGATTTATTTTATACTTTTGATTTTTGTTATGATGAAGAAAAATATTTCAAAAATTATTGCAATTTGGATTTGATGAGTAAACCAATTAATGCAACATTTGATGTAAGTTAACCTCCTTTATTTTTCGCTATTTCTCTCCTTCAGCTAGTGCAAAGGTTAATCGGCGGCTGGGAGCGGACCAGCATCTTCAGTAGACCGGACTGATGTGTCCTACTTCACAGTCTAGGGAATTAAATAGCTATATGCTTTACATCATAAAATATACTCAATAAGGGGGTTAAACAGGGCTGCACGCATTTGCGGATTGCGTAGTTTTTTGGACTGCGGATTGCGGCTGCGGAAAATTTTTTTTCAGCAGACCTGGGGATAACTCTATTTACGACACTCTTCTTAAATTTGGTTAGCCTATAGGTTGGGGAACAGCTACTGAGGCGTTCTTCACTTTCTCATTTAATAAATAATCCTAAACTTTCGCCTAGATTAAATTTGCCGATTTATTTCGCCTAATTAAATCGGGAAAATTAAATTTGGACTGCAATTAATAAGATAATACAATAAACTTTTTCTTCCGCGTAGATAGTGTCATATAAATAATCGAGATTTAAATGCTTATAATTAAGGAGCTAAACTTTAATAAAATTGTTATTTTTGTTGATCAAGTCGTTGATAGTAAAGGAGAAACAATTATAAATGTTGGAAACAATACGGAATTCATGCTTAATCATTTGTATGAAGATACAGTTATAAATGGAAATGCTAAAAATATTGAAAAAATTGCAAAAGCCTTAAATGCTCAAATTAATGATGATGAAAATATTTATTATTTAAATGAAAAATGTAGTGATATTAAATCTGAAGGGGAATCGACAATTGGTTTAAAATTTAAAAATTCCAATACAACAATTAATGTTTCTGGAAACGATATAGCAAACTATGGTGTAAGTACTTAAATAAATATTCTTATAACACACACATTATCAGTCTTATCAACATATAAGAATTTTTAAGTTATCCTCGGGCTCTCTTAAAGGAAAGACGGTATTCATCAGTAGGGATGGGATTTATATGGACCATCAATCGAAAAATATGGACATATAATCAGACATGGTCACGGATACTGATCTTTGTATCCGTATCCGCATATTTGCGGCGGATACAGGCGGATATCCGCAGGCATTTTGATATTATCTGTATCCGTATCCATGACCATGATATGGACTAAAATCCAAAATATGGACTGAAATATAGACTAAAATCCAAGATATGGATCAAATATGGATTGATAACTCATTATCATTCTTATCAACATATGCTAAAACAACATTTTTCGTGCGTTTCACGACCCAACTAGGCCAGAAAAAAACATGGAAATCCATATAAATCCCATCCCTATTCATCAGATACCGTATTTCATACCCCAATCATTAACTAACTAAAATATACCTACTTAAAAATCAACAAAAAATTTTTTGAAGAATTATTTTGGAATTTTTCAAGTATGAAGATAAATGTGCACTTGGACTGAAAATTGATGAAAAATATCAATTAAAATTTTCATCACAAATTTTCACTAATTATTGTGTTTTATTTGATACTTTATTGAATCAAATAGCTTTTGCACCGAAAGTTGTAGAGTCGGAAGATATGGAGTGGATTTTTTGCAATTAAAGGAAGGAAAAGTTTTAAAGAGAGAAAGTTTAGAAATTTGAATAAAAATTCTTAATTAATTTATCTTCAAAAGTATAAAGTAAAATTGAATTTAAACTGAAATCAAGAGACGTATTCAATAGACATTTATTGAATAATTACCTGGGGTAATTCCCGAATTCTTGCTATACCCTCTCAAATTCTTGCTAAAGAGGGTAAATGATGGGTACACCCCAAGGTACCGCCGATAATCTTTTCAAAAGGGAATGATGATGTTCCAATGGGGGAATGTTGTTCAAGCAATTTGTTCATCGACAGGGGAAGTTGTTCCAAGGGCGGGGAATGTCGGTCACGGGAAGTTGTTGCGACAACTGAGAACAGAAGGTACCCTGGGCTGCAGTACCTTGGCCTGCTCCAGTAATTGATCGAGGAGGGAGGGAATACTTTCGAAGGAGAGCAAATAATCGAAAAAATAATCGAGAAAGGTACTCGATTTGAACATTGCTTCAATGGGAAAGTTGAATTTTTTATTCCACAATCCAATTTCCGCCTGGCACTATTGAAAATTCAAATTTTAACAATTAAAAAAATATTTATTTTTCAATTTATTTTCGTGGATATAAATTTTTAAGAGTATCGTTTTGTGCCCGTCTCGAAGTTTCATCTTGAAGAATTTGTTTAAGAACGGCCAATTCTCTTTCAGCCTAAAAAATATTTTTAATTAAAAAATGATTATTCCTCTCGCCTTTTCACGAGCAGCACCCTCTTGAGCTATTTTTTGTCTTAGAAAAACTAATTCTTGTTTTGCTTCGTTTGCCTCTTTTTCTGCATATTGGAGTTTTTGTTGCGGCTATATTTAAATAAAAATCTTTTTCAATTTCTCACTATAAGATGCCCTCAATACTATAATTTTTTTAGACTGTGGTTGGCCTTGGGTAAAAGCAGCTACATAAACGATGCTCCAATATACACAAAAATACTAAGCATCGGGATGGAAGCAATGTTGTCCTCTTACGTCTAATGAAGTTTGCACTCATCAGGGACGGATTCGGTAATATGTATGTCGTGTCGTTTCCGGGTCCCCCTTTTTCCTCCCCGTTCTTTCCTGTTTTTTAGATAATGGCCAGACGTTGTCCTTTTTTCCATCACAATTGCCTTTCTATAGGAAAAAACCTGTGGAGGAAAAGGGGCCCTGAAATGACACTACATACATATTACCATGGATTCTCTTCCGTTTTCGTCTTCGGGTTTTAAAAATATGGAAGAATACCTCCATTGCGAGACCTCACCCTTACCTCGCACTAAAGGACCAAATTTCTAAGCCCCAAGGAGTATCTACAAGGGTTAGAATTCCTTACCAATTTTTGTTTTTCCCTTTCTTCAATTAACAATCTTTGCAGTCTCTCAACTTCATTCTGTGCTTTGTCTGCTTCAGCCCTAGTTTGAAGCAATTTATTTTTTACAACCTCCAGAACAGAATCATTTGAACCGTGGGACATTTTTTTTAATTTTTAGAAGAAAATATAAAATAAAATGTTTAATTAATTCGAAATTGAATGAAAATATTTGTAGGTATGCTTTGGTTAAATGAGTGGGTGTAAAAAAAAACAGCTGTTTAATAAAAATAATTCTTTAAGTAAAAGATTTTTTAAAGTGTGTGTTTGACATGAAGATTTTAATTTTTAAATTAAATGTCATACATAATTGTTAAGGAAAATTTTTTCTTAAAAACTAAAGAAGATTAAAGTTTTTATAGTGAAAAATTTGAGAGTTCGGCTCGATTCGACTTTTTCGGGCTAATTGTTTCCATCGCCTAAACATTTAAAAGACCTATAAAAATATCGCTTTATTAAATATTGCCACTGACAAAATGGGTCAAAACATCGTTATATATATATCTCTAATTATAATATAATTCTCAAAAATATTAAATTTTGAGATTTAATAAAGCTGCTAATTTCTTCGACCAGGTTTACTCTTGGTTATTGTTGTTGACTTGAATCTATTATTAATTTGTACCTATCCTTTTCGAATTTTTTTTTTAATTTTTTAGTGTTAATCGTACATCCAAGGGTTTAAAGATTTTCAAAACCTTCGCCGGTTTAATAGAATTAATTGAGAATAATATTGAGCATAATTAAATAATTTAATTATTTTAAAGACCTTGTCTATCCATTTTTAATTAATAAAAAGTCAATTAATAAAGTGCATTATTTCTTAAAAAATAATTTTGAAATATTCACGTGAATATTAAATATGTACTATACAAGGACAGCATTTATTTATCTTTTATTTTGTATTTTGTTTATTATATAGTAGTACATTTCAAAACACACTTTTCCATATTTTTTTTCATATAATAAATTAATTTTTATTAAATAATTTAAAGCATATATGTAGCTATTTAATTCTCAAATCCATGCAGACGGGGGGTATAATAGAAATAAAAAAGCAGTCCTGTCTACTGAAGATGCCGGTTGTCCGCAACCGTAGAAATAACCCTTTGCATTATACTTTCACCCTTCTCGAAAATTTTCATTTTCAGTGAGACGAATTTCTTGAAAATTTAAATACACACCTTTTAGTGAATAACTAACATGACACCTCATGAATTATTTTGAGTTATCATTTAAACTTATTCGAAAGCCCTTGAAATTTCTTACAAGATAGCGATTTTTAGGGAAAATTTCTCTATATGGAATTTAGAGTTTTTATAGAAATGTATTTATTAATTTTAGTATTCAACAAAAATGATATGTTACAATTTTCGTCTTTTATTAATTTTATTTTTAAATTTTTCTTTTGGAAATATTCAACAATTGAATGATCAAAATTTTATTATTAGACGATATAGTGAATATATTAATTTAAAAAATATTTATATTAACGTAAATAAAAAATTGGTAGAAATTTCTATTGAATTTAATTCAATTATAACAAACAAAGGCGAAAAACTTTTTATATCCCCTATAAATGAGGATAGCGATAATAATGAAAATACAAAAATTTATTCTTTGGGAAATGTTGGGGATAAAATAATTAAATTTCAATTTAATGAAGCTTTAAATATAAATTATAGAGAGGGGATTGAAATTTGTTTATTAGAGAAAAAGAAGAAAATGGAGAGGAAATCTATGAAGAAAAAGTTTGTTAATTGATATGATTTTAAGGTTGTACGACAATTGCAAATATAAAATTTAGAAAAATTAAAGATTTATTACATTCATTCGGAAACAGTTACAGACAAAACAAAATTGGGCATCACTTAAATAATTTTTAAAAAATCTTATATCTGCAATTGTCGCCTGAAATCATAACACCAATTGGTACTTTTCCGTTATACGGCAGCAGACTGAGTGCCAACCGAATTTGATCGTGTCCTATACAAATTAATTTTATACGATTTAAAAGCCCTCGATAAGAGGTAACTTTCTTCCAACTTATGGATCAGATCTGATCACTCATTAAAAAGTTATAACTCGATAAATCTAAAAAACATCAAATAACTGGACTTATCGGGTTATAACTTTTTAATGACTGATCAGATTTGATCTATCCTATTAGAAAAAATATACAGCCTATTAAGAGCTTTCGAGTGAGATAAAATTCATTTGTATTGGATAAAGCATTAAAAAGTAAAGCCGTTGAAAATCGGCTGGCACTCAGTTTGCGGTCGTATAACGGAAAAGTACCTCCCAATTTTACTAAATAACTTTCTTTAGCTATTGTTAACAATTGAACCTTTATTTCGTTATCCGTTACATTTTCAACCAAAAGAAGAAATTGAAAACAGAAATACAAAATTAACAAAAATAGATATATTTACAAAAAAAGAAAATTTGATGGAAATTTGTATAAAATTTGAGGAGGAAGAAGGGAATTATTTTATTAAATTAATATCGTTAAATTTTAGAATTTCAAATAAAATTATTCCTCGCAAATATTTTATATTTTTTGTAAAATTAGGAAAGAATAAAGAAGAAAAATGTGTTTCAAAAATATTTAAAAATATTCTAACAACAAAAGAAATTAAAATTTTAAATGAGTTTAAAGGAGGAATAGAAATTTATGTTTCAAAAACTAAAAAAGATTTTAATGATGGAGAGCTTGTTTTTGCGGGAGAATTGAATTCAGAAAATAGAATAAAATTTGATGGACCATTTTGTTCATTTTCACTATTAGAACCTTTAATTCACAATGGAAATTATTTTTTTGAAATGGATAATGAAGGGAATATAATTGAAAAAATAGGAAAAATAAATTCAAAAAATAATTTAATAAAGAATTTAAAATTAAGAGAAATTGGGAAAAATAAATTTATAAAATTAAGTGGAGAAAAACAAAAACGTTTTTTATTGAATGAGGAATATTATGTAATGAATGATAATTTAATAGCTGAGAAATTTATTGAAGAAAATTGAGAAAATGAGACATCTTTATGGCAACATTAAAAGCGACACCAATAAATGAGTTTAAGAGAATAAAAAAAGAATAAAGAGATCGGTTTGGTTAACCGAAGTAAAACCGACAGCGACACGCCCGAATAGTCGCCAAAAAGGATAGGAGCTAGAAATTTTTTAGCAAGTTATGGCTTGGCGACCTTATGGCCGCGCGACTATTCGAACTGTACCCCCTTAGTTTAGCAACATATACCGTTTTCTTTTATTAGCAAATTGTCCCTTTCCAAATCAACTAAAAAGGCTTAAAAATATTTAAATAAAAAGATTTACTCTGCATATTTCTCACTAGGAAATTATTAAAGGTATGCCTGGAAGTAATTTAGCTAGAGATCTATTCAGGATTTTTTGCAGGAGAAATCTTTGAAAATAAGGAAGACCAAGATTTTTGGTAACAATGACAGTTGAGGAAATCAGAACAATTTGTTTAATTTCAAAAAAACATAATGAATATTAATTTTAATCATTAAATTAACCCTTAACTAAACACCTAAGTTGACTAAAAAGTCTGTAAAATTTTCTTTTTCTAACATTTGACGGTAGGACCTTCTGAAAATTTCAATTAACTTACCTATAACAATTCACTTCAATTTCACAATTAATTTTAAAATCGTTAAAGAAGCGTTAATTATTGCCTTCAAATTTTGATTTTCTGAACCGGAAAGAGCAGTATTTCTTAAAAATATTTATGAAATATTCACGTGAATAAATATTCTCGTCTTATTTTGTTTATTGTTAACAAACATATATATTTATTATTCGCGTGCATATTTCAAAAATTAATTTTTAAGAAATAATACACTTTATCAGTTGACATTTTTCTTTAAAATTAAAAATAGACAGGCATATGTATCTACATTTTAAAAAGAGATTTTTACACATTTATTCATTCATTCAAATAATAAATAAATTTAATTTTTTTTAATTTTTAAATTTAAATAAATATTCAACAAAAATGTTGATAAATTTCCATTTTATTCTTTTATTAATTTTATTTTTAAATTTTTCCTTTGAAAATATTCAACAATTAAAAAATGATCAAAATTTTATTATTAGACGATATAGTAAATATATTAATTTAAAAAATATTTATATTAATGAAAATAAAAAATTGATAGAAATTTCTATTGAATTTAATTCAATGAATGAAAAAAGGAAAAAAAGTAAACAAGGAAAACTTTATTTAACCCCCTTAAATGAGTATTGCTATAAAAATAAAAATACAAAAATTTATTCTTTTGAAAATGTTGGGGATGAAATAATTAAATTTCAATTTATTGAAACTTTAAATATAAATTATAGAAAGGGGATTGAAATTTGTCTATTAAAAAATGGAAGGGAAATCTATGACAGAAAAGTTTGTTATAACCCCAATTTACTAAATAAATTTCGGTACTTTTCCGTTAATCGGCCGCAAACTGAGTATAACTTTTTGATTTGACTTTTTGAGCAGCTATAACTTTTTTATTCTTTATCCAATACAAATGAATTTTATATCATTCGAAAGCCCTCGATAAGCTCTATCTTTTCTCAAATGTATGGATCAGCTCTGATCACTCATAAAAAGTTACAAGTCAATAAGTGCAAGAAATCGTTGATTTTCACTGTTATCGGGTTATAACTTTTTTATGGGTACTCAGTTTGCGGTCGATTAACGGAAAAGTACCTAAATTTTGTTTAATAAAGAAAATTTGATGGAAATTTGTATAAAATTTGGAGAGGAAGGGAATTATTTAATTGAATTATCTAGAGACTATAATCAATATACATTTTTTAAATTTTTTGTTAAAGTCCCAGAAAATGGAGATGAAAAATGTATTTCAAAAATATTTGAGAATACATTAATGGAAATTAAAATATTTAATGATTTTAAAGAAGAAATAGAAATTTCTGTTTTTAAAACTAAAGAAAATTTTGTTGATGGGGAGCTTGTTTTTGTGGGAAAATTACCTTATAATCTTTATGAAATGCCTGATGGCCTATATGATTTATATTCAACATTGAGACCTTTAATTCACGATGGAAATTATTTTTTTGAAATGGATAATGAAGGGAATATAATTGAAAAAATAGGAAAAATAAATTCAAAAAATAATTTAATAAAGAATTTAAAATTAAGAGAAATTGGGAAAAATAAATTTATAAAATTAAGTGGAGAAAAACAAAAAC